TGACCGTTTTACCCGCTCTCTTGAAAATGTTGAACTAAATATTTTATCATAGTTTTTACAAACTAATTCAAGTTTTGTAGAATATCCATATATTCCTTTTGAAACAATATCTAAAGAGTTGGTTGAGCACTCGTCACACTTTATATTTACATAGCAATGGATTCCACATTTTACGATTTATCAAAATATATGAATCATCATTTCGGTTATCACCACAGTCAGACGTTCGTAATAAACTTTCATTCAGTTTCTTTACACTGGCACTTATTGAAGTACTCGCTTCAACTATAGAACTTTCAGAAAAAATTGTTTGTTTATTTTTGGAAGAAACTTCTTCACTGTTCGAATGTCACGTCATTTTCCGAATGAGCTGCCCATCGTTTTTCAATTTTGCTGACAGCTGCAAGTTTTTTTCTTCGATGGTCGCCCTTTAGGCTTACGGTAACGACGACTTATGGCATGCATAATGTACAATAAATATATATATATATATATATATATATACTTTTACGCAAGAGGTTATAAATTAATCTGCAGTTCTTCCAGTCCAAGAAACTCAGTTATAAACAGTCCTGCAAAATGTAGTTGGTATAAAACACAGCAAAACACTTTTAGCAAAAAGAACTAAAGAGAATAGCGAGGAAAAGCACTTTTAAACTGTAAACAGTGAAATGGCAGTTACAGTTAAAACGTTATATTGCCAGGTTTATAAAGAATTAAATATATAAGTATATAAATATCAGCAAATAACTGTTGAAACATATTTGTTTACATTTTCGCCAAAATTTAAAGGGCAAAGTTTATGTTGTTTACACATTTTAAATGCTTGTAACTTCGTTAAAAATTAGAATATTTGAATTCGGTTTTTTACATACGATGCAGATAAGTATATGTAATACAACGAGAGTAAAAAAAAAATTCAATATTTTGGTCGATTTTTAGCTTTTTTAAAGTCCACGGTCCCCTTAAACTTTTCTCGAATATCATATTACATAACAGATTTTAAATTCAGATGAAAACTGTGATAGCTAAAATTTGCTTCCGGAGGAAAGAGCTGTGAAAATGGAAATAGGAGAGATTGCTATTCATTTTAAAGAGGTATGCAAATAATCTTCTTAATTAAAATCGTTGGTAGATTACTAAATTATGATAGAAAGAATTATATAGTTTAATTTATCATTATAATTAATATTAATTTTCCAGATTGTAAAGTCTTGTATTCATAGGAAGCATACAAATCGACTTTAAAAAGACTATAGAAGAATTATCTTCTAGTTTCGTAAAACAAAACAAAAATCCAAAGAAGTGTGTATAACGCCCTTTTATTTGAACACAAAAAGTAACAATGACCCAACTTGGATTTACACAAGCCAGCACTTCTGTCTTAACTTAAATGCGTAATGTTGAGCTAAATCAAATGTAATAGATTAGCCTAACGGCTCACGGGATAAAGTAACGCGCAGGAAAGGCTCTGGTTTGTAGATAACCGGCGATGCAAGCTTAATGGCTAGAAGCACTCAACGCCACAGAATCAATTGCTGTATTAATTGCTGTCACAGTATAACGTGGCCTCAAGTAGGCAGAACACGGTCTAAAATTATCTTGCGAATCCTTCCTTAAATTGTACTTCTTTCTCCCTCAATCTGAATAAACGCTCGCTATCTCCTTTACATACTGGCATGAAAAGTGTGGGTGAAAAGAAAATAACAGAAAGGTAATTTAACTTAAAATGAAATGTTAGTTAAAAATAAATAGATACATTTTCACAAGTTAATAGGTTTGTAAAATATTTACTTATAAGATGCAAAAGGACATAAAATCCACACTGCTAAATCCGGAAGTTGAGTGATTTGCTGAAAACTGTCACTTTCACACTTGTATTCCCTACATTTGCTCAGCTTTTCCTTTCATTCCTGGGTTGTGTTTAGGGTAATATTATCTACAGACAAGCCATTATTTCCTGAACTAATAAAGAGCTGTCAACAGAGTAATTTTCTTTAAAAAAATTTCTCTAGTCTCAATATTTAAAAATTACAAAGAACAAGATAAAAGTGACGTGAAAAAAGTACTAAAAGTATTTGCATCGTAATTTGCCAACCAAGTAAAAAGTCATGTAAATCAAAATTATTCTCTTGGAAACAGCTGTATCTTCAATTAAATTGATTTCAGTAATGCCAAGAGGTAATTTGTCTTTTTGTTTAGTTGCCCATTTTAAGAAAAGCTCTTCAAATGACTAAAAACATTTACTGTTATGTTTCATAGTTTTTATTAAGTTAAATGGCTTTCGGAATAGGAGACCAAAAGTAAATTTTGTAAAGGATAAACAACTTGTTACGCTTTGTAATCATAACAACTTGCCAGTGGATGTGTTACGATACAGGACAATTACGAATAAGGTAGTAATTTTATTGCAGGAAAAAAAAAAGACAGAATTTGTAAGGTTGTCAAGTGGTAAAATTTCACGGCTTGAGATTTACCTCAACAGACTTTAAGAAACTTTTCAGCTCTTGGATTCATTCACTAATATTAAAAAATAATAAAAAAAAGAATTAAACAGACACATTATATTCACTGTTGCAAAAGAAAATATATGCATTCACACAAAAGGGATCTCTAGTGCCGAAACTCACCACAAAATGATTTATTTTCGATTGTATACGAAACAATAGAATTTTGGATCAGAAAAATGTTTTATTAAAAAATGATCGCAGCAAAGATATTACCCCTTAATAAATAGATATACTTTATTAGTTAAATGTAAGCAGATATTTAATACAATATAACACTAGCAAATATTTCGTATTGTACAGTGTTTGTTATTACATCACACTTTAAAAGATTCTACCACGAATTCGGTAACTAGTTAATCCATTTGTATTAGTGGTTTTCAGACTTGCCTTTCCACCGGTACAAGTAGACATGCCAGTACAGATATAAGTGCCTACGACACCAGAAACTCTCCGTTAGTCATACACGTATAGTCCCGCCGCATTGACTATGCAGTTCCATCGTAGTTGGGATGATGAACAGGGTGTCCGAGGGACTGTCACCCGTCCACTCCTATCACCAGCCTCTCGACAGGACTTTCGACTAGCCATGTATTTTGAATGCCCCCTTGTTGCACAGACACTAGATGCTTACGAACATTCATGCCTTCTTCGAGTTTCGAAACCGGGCACATCGGCATGGCAGTCAATGTCACTAACCACAGGTTGGGCGAACGTACCTATTCACAACAGATAACGAAAGTAATAAATCCTTGAGGAACTACCTGATAAAGACATATAACATGTCATTAAGCTCTGTGTCCTTGGTATATTGGCATATGGCACTTGAGGGGTGCAGAATAACATTAACCTACACGCAGACCGCCAGTCTTCATTTACAGCATAGGAGGTATGCAGCTTTGTTTTTGAATTTTCATTTAATTTTGCTTGTATTGAATTTTCTTTAAATCTGGAAATCACATTAGCGATTGGTTTTAATATCGCTAGTAAACACAGAAAGAAAATGAACTGACAAGTGGAGATTTTTATGATATTAAGGTAAAATATATTTTGAAATATAAATTTCTAAATAGCAGCATTACTTAGTGGTTTTCATAGATGTGCCCAGTATTTCGGCTAAATTCTTTCATTATAAAAATATTTCTAGAAGTCTCTAAACAATGTTTCGTCTTACTCTGTTTACTGCAATAGCCGGTATGTCATAAATTTATAATCCCTTTCTTTTTAAATTAGATTATTTGATATATAATTTAGGGCGGCCTACTAGCAAAATTTCACTGTCTAGACAACCAGGAAGTGAGCTGAATTTAATTACAAATTCAAAATTCGGTTTTATGACAGATATATTTTATAGACTGTCTTGAAGGGTTGTATTCTACAAAGGATTTATAAATATTTAAGCATTTTTTCAGCTACAGATTCCAGCAGAATATTTTTGGCGTTCAGTGAAATTAGGTTTCTATGGCATTATAATACAAATAAGTTCCCAACAAGCGCACTTAACGCTTATTGTTTCCTTTTTAATATTTCCTTTATTTTTTATAAATAATTCTTCCTTTATATACACTGATGATCAATATTTTATGAGAAATACTTGAACAAATATTTGGAACTTATGTACTTATTTGAAATAAATATACTTCTTGAACTAATATTACTTAAAAGAAATATATTTCAAATTACGTATAGATGATTAACAAGTGGTCCTGATCATAAAAGAATGCGAAATAGGATTTAGGGAAACTTTAAAGTATTTTTAATTTTTTCTTTTATAGTGAAGAATATGGTTGGAATAACTAAGTCATTACATTTTATTGTAACCCTTTATTTAATTACTGTTCGCTGTTAAGTAATATAAACCATTAAATATGAATACTCTTACATTCTGTTCTCTTTAACAATGGGCAATTTTACAGAAAATATTCGTAGTCGAAATTGTAGAGGGTTTTATGTTGTTGCCTTGTCCATATTACATGGAACAAAGGTTACCAGAGCCTACTCCAAAGAGATGTTGGACTCCTATTTTCCACCCCACCCCGCAATTTTAATGGAGAACATCCCAGGGAACACCTACCCATCTGCCCTTGCATCAATCCACATGAGAGGACTTTCGACTCGACCCATATTTAGAGTGCTCAGTTCCGCCTCCAGTTTTGAAAGAAAACACCCCATGGTTAGAAGTACGAAGGTCTCCCACCCCTCTTTCCCAACCACCAACCTCATGAGAGGACGTTCTGCTCGCCACATATTTAGAATGCCGTCATGCCGCACTGACGCTATACATTAACAAACATCCCTGTCTTCTCCGGGATTCGAACCCCGGCCCTTCGGTACTGTTGCAGGTTCCCTTAACCACTATACCGTCTGGGAGACTAGAGTGTACAAGTGTCATAATATAACACTGTTAGATATGTATTTTATTAATTACTACAAAGCTGTTAATATTTATAAAAAATATTGATTTAGTAATATAGAAATTTTTCTTCCCCATAGGACTACCCAACATATTCTGAAGACAACTTGCCTGAGACAAGCTTCACATGCCATGATAAAGTTAATGGAGGCTATTATGCTGACATTGAAACGGATTGCCAGATGTACCACGTGTGTTCTCGTGATAAAGATGGTATAATGAGGAGTACCAAATTTCTGTGTGGGAACGGTACAGTCTTCGATCAGCGTCATTTAGTGTGCCAAGACTACAGAAGAGTACAGAGATGCAAGGAATCTAAGAAGTATTATAGAAATTTAGCCACACTTTTGGAACTTCTGGAAGCTAGACTGAAAACAGAAGGAATGGACAAAGAAATTTTAGCTGCTGCTCAGTTTGAATCTGAGAGATTGAAATAAATGAATTATCTATTACTAAAGCGTTTTTTCAAGCATGTTATCTGTTTAATCAAATATCTGGTTAAAATTGTAGGAATTTTTCTTCTTTGTACGAAGTAAAGGATGTATTGTAACCGCAAAAAGTTGCGGTTATCCTATTTCACCATAAATATCCATTTGATCATTCCTGAGTCCATTTGGATGGTTGTTTATGCGTGACGTCCGTAACCCCCTGGGGTTGACTCAGGAGAATTCGTGGGATGTACTGGCTAGAATCTGTACTTAGGCAGGCTCAACCACGGGGGTATATAATTTCACTTCACAGGACTAGAGCCCCCATTCATTCGGAGGTTGGTTTAGGCTTGGCAGGGACCGTACTGGTGCTGTCGTGTTAGTTCCTTCGGCTGTTGTGGAGCTAAATGTTGATTTCTGAGTCCTTGGGATTTGGTTCCCACAGTCCCAGTGACGGGAGTGACAGAGTATACAGAGCACCGAGACGAATTTAATCGATGTCGATGAAGTGATGCCTGGAGGTAAAGAAGTCAGACCGTTCTTTTATTTCCTACTAAATTTTATTTGCAAGCATTTTACAGTTCTGTCCCATGCCTTTTTTTAATCCGGGCAGGAATTCTAAGGTCTGCGCCGTCTTGGACGCGGTCCCTGGACCTTGGATATATCAAACCCCGATATGGCAGGCCCCTTGAGGATCTCCGGACGGCGGTCCAAGATCTAGCGCCCTGTATGTACGGAAAGAATAAATTTATATTTATCCAAAACGGATAGTAAAATGGATTCAGGAGGAATTTTTTCTATGTCATCTGTATGCATGTACGTATGTAAGTATCTCACATAACACAAAAACGATTAGCCATAGAATGTTAAAATTTTGTATATGGGACTGTCGTATCATCCAGTTGGGCCCTTCCGTTTTTATTGCAATCGGCAGGTCCAAACGTATAGATAAAACCCCACTATCGTACGCGGCTTAAAAGCTCTTACTTGGCCCTGATTTTCGCAATGGTTCATTCTAGTCATACACTTTCAGTTACAGAAGTGTTTTAAATGACGAAATATTCATGTTTTAGATATGTCAAATTTAGAAAAAATGATTTTCGACAAGTAACGAAATCTAACTTCTAATGCATTCTTCGAATTCCAGTACTTATAACAAAACGCTGATTTTTGTTGTTTGACTTCTAAATTAATACTTGTTCAGCGTGTTATTGTATCTTAATTCCAATACTTATATTAGGGAAAGTTTCATACTGATTATGAAAAAATTTTCAGTTTGTGATTCCATTTTCAACTTGTTTTTAGAAATAGATTAATTAGGAAAATAAGTTTAAATGAACATATGAATAATTTGATAGACTGTACAAGGAAGTAATTCGGTGTTTGCAACAGATTTTTAACTGTATATCCATGCCATCATACTTAACGTACAATCGTTAATTTCTAACTAGGAAATTAGGAAGTAATCCAAGTGCATTTTACATATACATTCTGAATACTTGATATTAATAGAAAATTGATGTTTCTTCCGCATGTGAAATTTCTACAAATGAGAAAACTCAGAGATTCGTCAGTTTTAACCACTTAAAATGAAATTAGAATTTCTAAATATAGACAGACATCTTAAAGCGTAAACCCTGATCATGACCCTCATACAGTTTTCATTCTCATTGAGGAAAAGTTTATCAGTATAATATGTTGAAAAAATTTACATTGTAAATTGTAAAATTGTACTTATATTGCAAAATTATACATTTGTTAATAATGCACAGGCAATATACAATTTCTGATGAACAAACATATTTTATTACAAATAAATTTTACTGACATATTCTTCTTCGGTTCTATAAGTACTTCTGTTAATTTTATTATTCTATTATGAATAATTAAATTTATTATTTCAACAAGGAATTAATATATAATTTGTTATTTATCTGCTTTTAATACCGTCTGGTATTAAGGCCATGGAACAATATAATTTCTTTTCCTTTTAAAAGGGGCCAATATAAAGTTATTAGTATATTAAACTCTTACTTATATCTTATTGTATTATTTAAATTTGAAATGCCCGAACTGGAAAGAAAATCACTTTTTGATGAAAATCTATTTCTGTGTGTAATATCCGTCACGTTCAAAACTGGTGTTCTGATATCTTACGTCGTTATCCAAAATAACACTGGGAATGCTGAGGTAAACTACAGTTATAGCGTAAATCATTGCATATTAGAACTTTCGCAAAGTTTGTTACTGATGAGATAAGAATTTAACTTCGCATTGCTTCTGACGATAAAGAAAAAATTGAGAAAGAACTACTTAAAAATGGGAATTATACAGAACAGGAAAAATTTTGAAGAACTCGCAACAGCATTCCTAACAAACTGCATCTGGTCCGTGCTGTTGTTTAACTGATAGTCACAGTGCAGAATGTACGTATAAGCTACACAAGCTACAGCTTAGGGCCCTCACTTTCTTGGGCCTTCCAAAAAATTTAAAATATAATATAAATATAGTATTAAAACATAGTATAACAAACTTATAAAGGTCCCATATTTCAAATAACTCAGGGCCAATTCAAGTCTAAATCCGGCCCTGGGTAGTTAGTTTAAAGACGATTTTTCAACAGCATTCTCACCCTAATCCATTACAACATTTACTATTTCAGAAGTCAAACAAAAATCAGCTTTATGCATTTGCGCTTTTGCAGCTGAGGATGGTGGTTCGGTAAAACCATCGAAACTAGTCCTGTAAAAATTTGAAAATATAACGCTGAATTTTGTTGTTTGACTTATGAATTAGTATTTATTTGTTCGGAGTGTTACTGTGTCTTAATTACAACACTCCTCAATCACCCCGTAAGAAAGCATTTTTATTTTTACTAAGGCGAAATACGCAATTTCTTTCTGTCAAGATTTCAGTTTCAGTGTTCCTCTCATGCTAGGTACTTCTGCCTGAAAATAATAGTTTTCATGTAAATTGCTTTAACAAAAAAAAAAACAAAAAAAAAAAAAGTGCTGAAACGTAATTGTGTTATGGGAACATTTTTAACACGACGTTAAGAACTGAAGGATAACAAGCCAAAATATTTTTTCTCTTTTTATTTCCTTTGGCTAGGCAAAAAGTTACAAAAAGCTACAAAGTAAACAAAGGTTACAAACAACAGAACAAAGAACAAAAAGAAAAGACCGAAGCCATTGCCTAAAGAGCATTCTTGCCTCCCAGTATCCTTACTCTACTGTAAAACCACGAAGAGCTCCATATCGAAGCAAGTGGTTCCTGAACATTGCATATCCAGAATCACAACAAAGTGGGCAAATAGGATCGGTTGAAATGACTATGCGGTGCAGGTGGACGGCAGGGCAATCATATCCTGTAGACGGACGGAAAGCTGCAAATGCATTGCGTCTTGGACTATCGGGAATAAGAGAAAGACTTATTATTCTCCAATTTGGTAAGGCTGTACGAGTCTGAAGATCTTGTAAGCTATAAGGCATAAATAATTTTTTTAAAAAACAGTTTAATCCTTCAATAAGAAATGGCTGTATTAGGATGTTGTAGTAAGCTGGCACTTCGTTTTGCAAGTAAATCCGCTTGCTCATTGCCTCAAAGCCGACAATGACCAGGCACCCACTGGAGAACGATTTGTTTCCCTTTTAAAGTGTGAGTTCTCAGGAATTCCTGACATTGCAAAATTTCAGGTGTTAATGGGTGTTCAATATAACTAACAATAGAACTTTTTTGAATGACTGCGTGAGAATCAGAAACAATGACTGCCTTTACTGGCTGCCTTTATACGGGAACGTTTATGTTTCGTGTGTGCATCTGAAAAATGAAAAAATTTATAAAATATTTTAATGTTTTTAATTAACTATATCATTGAGTTAAATGCATTGAGTATCTGCATAAAATTGAAAAATAAAAAATAACATTCTTAAATGCATCTATTGCTTTTAAATAGCGTTTATTCATCAATAGCAAATAAACTGAATTTGAGAGATACATATCTTACGTTTTACCGAATGGCAACAGACTTGAATGTAAAGTGAAATAACACAAAATCGCCTTTCGAGACCAATAGCCCTTTTGGGATTATAAGGAAGTATTATCTTTCATTTTGTCCTTCCGCTAAAGAATTCGAAAATTGTTAATCGTTCTGTTCTAAAAACAAAACAATCATATAGCTTATTTTTCGCTTCTATCACCTAACTAATAGTTGTGGCGGCATCTAATATATATTAATAAAACAGTTAAATCTAAGGAGGCAGATAATAATTTATTCTAATATTTCGAATTAATAATTTTTGAACTGATGAAGACAATAATATTTTAATTGATTTAAATTGCATATCGTTCTTACATATTTCTACTTTTACATAATAACTAACTCAGCTTAAATAATTTACCTTATTATGCTCAATAAAATTAATAATGTAATCATACTACATTTAAAAGGATTATAATAATTACAGAATACAAAATTTCTTTCCATCCTAGTTTAGAAATAACATTCATTTTAGAAATGTAAGAGTAATTTATTTTAATGCAAAATTTTGAATTATCATTATTTAAGAAAAATCTGTTATTATTTGTTAGTAGGAAAAAAGTATGTCTTTGTATGTATTTTTATGCAAACTCTCCTTCCACTTATACTTAAATATACTTTATTTCTTGGTAGAAGATGCATATAAGTACAGAACGTGTAAGCATTATGTTAATTTTATTAACAGTTAAATTTTAAGTTAAAGTTCCTTTCCTGCCCAATTCTTAACTTCAACTTACTACTTCCGGCCAGAACGTAGTTTTGGAATCTTGCTGAATATTTAATGAGGAGGAGCGGTATTTAAACCACGAAGTTACTTACTGAGTCAGAGAGAATCAGAGTTTCTGATTTACGCGCGTCTGCCTTTTTGGCCACTCTCTCTCTCAAAGCTGTTATTACGCTCGGCCGTACTCAGGCCCTTGCTAAGCTTCGTAGTCAAATAAGTTAAGGGGCCAACTCAAATTGAACTTTGATAGCTTCGGCTATA